AAAAAATATCAAGATCATTTTTAACAATCATGCTTAATACATTGTCACCAGACCCCCTCCCCTGCCTCTCAGGAAGAATGCAGCTGGGTACGGGGTGGGGGGGGGTCTGCCAAGTGGCTCAGGCGAGATAAACACAGTACTCACACAAGCACAAATTCTGTCTCACACTTGAGCTGATTTTTCTAGAATGTACTCTTGCTCTTGGTTTTTATGCTCAAATAATACCTATCTACTGACACAGGGGACACTGGAGAGATGATATTAATGGAGATGAAAGACGAGAAGCAGCAAGCATTAGCCTCTGGGGCTCATATAATGATACAAATCAGTTTGGACATTCTCTGTTTACAATAAATCCTGAAATGAGTTGGTTTCTCTGCTCTGCAGACCCCCCTGCTCAGACATTCAGCCTACATAGCACAGACATTGCCTGGATGCTGTCACCTTGGATTATGCAACTGGATTTTTCTCTGTCTTCTTGGTCTGACTTTTCTAACCAGTTATCGCTCCCGTGATCCATCCCTTTTTATCTGTTTATCACACATGAACCGACTGTCTTCCAAATCCTTCCATTCCAGTATCTGGCCTATCTCTAGACACTACCTAAGAGTATCTGCCCACTCTCTATAAGATTATTTCAATTTTTGATTCTACCTGTTTACAATATGGCCTTTATCTCCACCCTCCTATCTTTCAGGATTAAGATTTTATCCCAACATACATCACATCTGCCTATATCCAGCATCTCATCTGTTCTTATTTGTGAGCTCACGCAGAAGATATTTCCTACCAGGTGTTTCCTTAACCATGCCACATTCACAAAAAATTCTTATCATTAGGAATGTTATATGTTAGGTAGCTAAGAGAGATCTAAATGAAATACTAAATTCCTATAGAGATCACTAACATCTCTACTAATTGAATGAAGATAAATTAGGGTAAGCATCTTACATGCATTTCAGGCACCGTACTGACTTCCTAACTTTTTAGTAATTCAATTCTAAAATACTCTGCAGACTTAGAGATGCAATAATCTTTTCTTGAATGATGACTGTTGCTTTGCAGTGTCTGAATTCCTCACTTCAAGTCACCCCTGCCTCTACCTTAAATATTAGGGAGATTTATTTTATTTATTTATTTATTCATTTATACAAGCACTGGGTATAGTCAGAAGTGTGGGAGGGTGAGAGAATTCACCAGAGCCAGAGCAGGGAACAGAACAGGCAGACTGACGAAATACACTGCTGAGGGGAGGAGCGGGCACAGCAGGAGAGGTCTGCGTGCCATGTGGAACCCTCGCCGGGCAGCTGGGGATCAAACCAGCGCTGCAGAGGCTGCAGGCAGCTTCGCAGCCCAGTGCTCAACTGCTGTGCCACCAAGGGAGCCCCAAATATTAGGGAGATTTAGGAGCAAGATTGTTTTCCAGGAGAAGGAAGGGATTTGGCAGAACCAAAAAAATACAAGGATGGGCCTTCACTCAGGCCACAAAATTCAGTAGTAAACACAAAAAATTAAGATGTAACCCAATTTCTGGTTTGTGTCCAAACTTCAAAGAGGACATAGCTGAGAGCAGCTATCACCCTTTGGTGAAAGACTAGCAGGACTTAGCCCCAACTCATGAGACATGGCGCCAGGAGCAATCTGGATAATTTTATAAATCTTTAGTTATACACTCCATTCCTGGGTGGTGATTTGCTTACAGATGATAGAACTGGTGTGTTCATCTGCTAGGATGGGAACAAGTGTTGGTGTCTCCCCCTCTGAGTCATGTCAGGAAAGTGTCCTAAGAGAATAATAGTTCCCTAAATCCTTCCTTATTATTTATTTTAGGGTTTATTTTTTTTCCTGGAATAATCCACACTCAAGTCATTTTATATAGTTAGCGAATTTGCATTTACTTTAGTTGTTAAAGGCACTCCATTGTTTGTTTTGTTTAATTATGTATGAAATGCATATATCTGGTGACCTTGGGAAGTGAGACTATAAGCAGAGTGTAAAGGAAGGGACAGAGCAAAGCAAGTTTATTGTGCACTTCCAATGAGAGACCACAAGTGAAATTGTTTGAATCATACTAGTTGATTAAATGTCAGTCTGTGAGATCATTGTTATTTGTACTTTATAAGTAAGAATACTATGTTTTTACAAGTTTAAGAAAATGACCCAAAGTCACTCACTCAGCAATCTTTAGATCAAATATTTTACAGCAGTGTTTTGAATACTTTAGTAATATAGTTGGTGCCTTTTAAAAAGAAAATGGAAAGTTTAGACTCTCTATATACCTTATACCCAATTTTACAAAAGCATTGCTGTCATATTTAAATGTTGTCATTTAAGCGATTTTTGGTGCCAATGTAATTATAAACATGTACTTCTTGGCACTAAATTCTTGAGACAATGTATTTCAATATTGTCATCAAAATGACATAGCATATTCTTATAATTTTAAATATTAATAAAGAAGTAAAAGCAGATTTTTAAAAATCTTGCTAAACTCGTAGGGTCTAGAAAAATGTGTTCCAGTTTTTCTAAGGAAAAGCAAACCATAGGACTCCATGATTCTGAGGTCCCCCTCCAAGCATAAAATTTAGTGATTTTTAAAGCATTTAATTTGTTCTTAATTTCATTTATTCCAATTTCAGAATGTTTCCTCCAGTTCGAGCAGTTTTCTTAAAGCCTCTGGAAATTCTTTTTTTTTATTTTATTTTATTTTTTTTTAATTAATAAATTTTATTTTTATATTCCCCATACAATTGCAATCAACACAGGAAGGTGAAATTTTGTATTTGAGAACTGTACTGAGGAACGCCTGATGTTTTCAATGTGGGATTTCTGGGTTTAGTTTCTCATCTCTCAGGTGTAAGTTAAGTAGTATTTACTCCTTTGCAGTGTCTTTTGACACTACCATTTTGCATGTTCCTCTCCACTGATGTGTTTAGAGGGGAGGGCACCATTGCCTGGAGTCTGGAGTAAAAGGGATCATCATAAATATGACCACACATTGAATGAAGCCAAACAGCTATTGGTGATCACAGACATGATAATGGAAGTCAAAGGCTGACATGGTTCCTGTCACTGAGGGGGATTACTCAGCAGTTCAAAGTATGCAGTGCTGAGGAATGCTGTCTGTAGCCTGCTCTTAAGAAAAACAAACCTTTCCAGGAGAAAGGCATTTCAGAGCCGTGAACCCCCAAGAACCGAAGGGCAAGGAAAGGGAACATAACCAGAACTTACTTAGTTCCTCTCCTAATGCTGCTTCACTTTACATTCTATTTAACTCTTAGAACAGTCTTGTGACTTGGATATAATTCCCATTTTACAAATGAGAAAACTGAAGCTCAAAGAATCCCACAAATTGTGGTGAGGCTGGTTGTGTAATTCAAGTGTCTCTGGCACTAAACCACAAGCTCTGTTTCCCTATTTGCTCTCCTTTGAGGGGAAAGGCACCCATTTGTATAAGTCAGAACGTAATTCTAAGCCCAGGTGTTTTCTCTTTTTTCCCTAAATCTTTTTGAAATTGCATCAATCCTTGGTTTCTTCTGCTTTAATGTCTTCTTCGGTAGGTTGAGAATGGTGATTTCTTTCTGTGACTTGTTCACACTCCTGTTTTCAATGCAAGAATGAATAACTCTCACAAAGTATCTTCCAAAAGAAGCCATATCCATGTTATTAAATGTTTAATTATTTATTATCCCTAGTTATATTCAATATTAAATGTCTAAAGAAACAGAAATATCTGAAGTCAGCCTTATCCAACGGACAGGTCTTAGGAAAACCTCAAGTTTTGCTCCAGTTCCATCCCTAACTAGTATGGAAAGCCATTTAGTCTGTTTCCTTGAATGTCCTCATGTGAAAACAAAGAGAATAGGTGCATTCCCTTCCTCTGCAGGTAACCTTTGATCTGAGATAGAAATGTAATTCCTACCAGGTGATAAGAAAACCATGTATTTTGTATTGGGCATTATAGAAAAGGCAGTATAATATAATACCCATGCATTGTCTTCTGATTGACAAAGAACAATTAATGAATGACAAATTTCATCAAGTATCCCTATTTCTTCAGGGACTGTTTTGTGACTTGAGCCCAACCTGTGAGTCATCTGTCATAATGCCTTAGCTTGTTCTCCATTAACTTCCCTCCTTGGAAGAGAGCATGAGTGATGATGAAACGTGAAAAGAAGGAGTCAGGGGGTGAAATTGGTCTCCAAGTCATGCCTCCCCCTTACAACATCTTGTCTGCGAAGTACCCCATGTAAAGGCACAAGGGGCTCCCTGTGACTATGGACAGTGAGGACAAAACAAGGCTACCATTACCTTCATCTGCACAGTGCTAAGTATTTTCATGGCCAAGTAAATTAAGTCTCAGCACTAACTTATTAAGTTCTCATTTCTTGCTCCCTTTTTTTTTAAAATAATATCAACACTGAAGCATATTTTGGTTATTTGCCCAGTGGTCAAATAGCTGGTAAGAGAAAGAACAGGCAATGTAGATCCTCATAACTTGAACGTTCACTCTGTAAACTCCCAAACTCCATAAACCCCCAAACTATGCCTACATGGGTGCAGACTCAATGTTCTAATGATGTTTTATTTTAATAATAATCATAATTAATATGGTTAATTATGGCATCCATACATATGTGTATCTGCATTTGTTTTATCACCTTACTTAAGCTAACCAATCATTATGACACCAATTCTTCAAGATCATTAATATCATCTTACATTGAAGGAAATGGAGGCTCAAAGAAGCTCTTAACTTTACCAATTTTCACATCATTTAGAAGAAGCAGAGTCTGTTTGGAATACAAATCTGTTTGAAGTCAAATCTGCTGCCCATCCCATGGCCTCTCACTCATTGGATAACCACAACATGATCATTTAATACCAGCCTCACCAGGCGATTTTAAAATTTACATGAGGTGAATTCAACTCAAAGCGGTCATATGCGGTAGAGACAATATACCAGTTTAAATTATGAATTAGAATGGCCTGTAAGGATTGTTGCTTTCTCATCTAATCATTGAACATTCCTTGAGAATTATTCCTTAAACCCTAACTCTTGTGATTTGCCCTTTTACATACATATGACAAATATGGTTGTTGACAAATCAACTGGCTGGAAAATTTGCACTCATTGACCGTTCTTTGCTCTGCCTTAGACTGCACCACCTTCAGATCACTCTGCCTAAATAAGCAGCTGGGACTCCATGGCTGTGCAGAAACAATTCTGACTCAGAATCCAGAGACCTGGATTCTGTTACTGGTTCCCCCATGAAACAGCAAAGTGACCTTGGCAAGTCATGTGATGACTCTACACCCGGTTTCTTGCTCTGCAGGATGAAAGCTTTCAAATAGATTCTCTTTAAATGTCCTTTTACTTCTGAGGGTCCATAAACACTCTTCCTGCTGGCCCCTTCCCAGAATATGGTTGCTGTTTCCATTCTAAAAATGTTCCTATAGAATAGAAAAGGAAGAGATGACAAATAATTCCACTGTGCAACTGCCTTGGAACACCTGAGGAAAGTCAGCGACCTACTCACAGGAGCTGCCTTCCTAGTATTTGAATTCTTGAAGGAGATGGTTCATAGTTACATAAATAGTTCCTTGGCTGTGATTACTTATTCAGGACAAGTACTACAAAACTCAGACCTTCCTTGCTGCCTCCTTTTCCCTCTGACAGGACTGTCCCTTTGGGGCAGCACCCATATGTCCCACTTCCTTACTGTGTCCCTCCTCTTGACCACCATCACCTGGACTCTCCATGGTGAAGCCCTTGTCATGCTAGCTGGCTTCCCAGAAAGCTCGACAAACACATTCCTAGGTCTTATGGGATCCCTTTCTGTCACCCAAACTCTAGGCAAGCTGACTGGCAGAATCTCCCACCTTGGCCATCTGTGATGGCATTTTCTACACTTGCAGTGAAAAAATGTGGTCTAAAATGGCAGCACCTCAGTGACTGCTGGTAATGATGTACACAGGGTGAAATGAAGATCAGACAAACCCTGTCACTTTGCAGAATGAGCTGTGGCAAAAAGCAAACAGGAAATCTGACCTTGAGGTATTTTACTCCTAGAGAAAAAAATCCACACCTACCTACACATCTACCTAGCAAATGTGTTTCTTGCCCACTCACCTCCTGCAACAGACTCTCACTGAGCCTTGTGTTATGAACTGAAGGTACAGAAAATAACAAGTCAGATAATATCCTTGCCCATGCAAGGTTAATAGTTTAGTCTGTCTCCCTTACAGCACTGGTCACATTCTGTTATACATATATACACTTTATATTGAAAACATTGTCCCTAAATCACATCTGGTTGCAATGGTTGCAAAGAGTTCTTCATATATGGAAAGTGATAAACATTTAAAAATGTATAAAAGCATAGATATGCAAAATACATGCACATAGGTACAAACTTCTAATAGCTCTTTCATTCCTTTTAAAATAAGATCCAGATACCCTGCCAGAGTCTACAAGGCCTTCCTTGATCATTTCTCTGGCTCACCTTTTTCTACTTCCACTCTCATTTGCAACAATTCATTCTCCCTGACTTTCTCTTTGTTCCTTAAGCCTTCAAGTTCTCATCAACATCAGGACCTCTGAATATGCTATATAGCCTTTGCTTGAAATGCTTTTACCCAAAGCAAGACATAGTAAAGTCCTCCCTGTCACTCTGTTGTCAATTCAAATGACTTGCAGCAGCCACCCACTCTGTAGTGTCTTTCATGCCACACCAAATAATTCTCTATCTCCTCGTTCTGGTGTATTTTCTTCAGAAAATGCATCATTACTTAAAACAACCCAGTTGTCTCTAACTGCTAAGTCATGACTCCTCTGGACTTTTTGCCTAAATTATAAACCCAGAAAATTAGACTCAATTATTTCCCCAGCTCCTTAATACTCTAAAATCCTATTGTCTCTTATCAAAGAATCCATAAAGAAAAGAAAGAATTATGCTCAATTTTTGACATTTTTTCCAGTGGAAAACATATCACACAGATATGTGATCTGTGACTGTCTCCTTAGGTGAGTGTGATAGTTGCCATGGTATATTACAGATGAATTAGTCACTATCTTTAAAGCAGGAATTCTCTCTTTCTCCTTATCACCATATTTATTAAGCTTTTTCTAATTGCTTCCATAAAAATATAAGACTCATTCTTCTGTGTTTCCATAGTAATTCCTTCTTATTGCTCTTGAAGTTACAGATTCACTTTTTTTTTTTACATTTTCCCCCTTCTTTACAATAAGAGCGGGAGAGAGCATATCACCTACAATTAAAAAAAAAAAAATAGCACTATAGTCCTCTGAATTCACTGACATAAGAACCTATATTTCTGTTTGACCAGGAATACCCAGGAAGGTGAGTGGAGGAAGGGAGGATGTGGAATAGGGCTAAACTATGGCACTGTTCATCAGTTGTTTCTTAAGCCAGTTTAAAGGAAGAAGGGCTCTGGATTTATGCACAAATTAGGAGGCAGGAATTTGCCACATATTTGGAGAAGAATATGGTGAAAATTAGAGTTCGTTCAAAATTCATCCAGCTGTATATCATTTTGATTGCCTACAAGGAGCTACAAATCCACCCATTTTCCCTCTATAGCTTTACAGGAGAGAAAAATATATTTTTTTAAAGATTTATTTATTTTTTATTTATTTATACAAGCACTGGGCACAGTCAGAAGCACGGGAGTGAGAGAATTCACCAGAGAATTCACCAGAGCCAGAGCGGGGAGCAGAATTCACCAGAGCCAGAGCGGGGAGCAGAGCAGGCAGACCCACGAAATACACTGCTGAGGGGAGCAGCGGGCGGCAGGAGAGGTCTGCGCGACATGCGGGACCCTCCTCCACTGGCCGGGGAGCAGCCGGGGATCGAACAAGCACCGCAGAGGCTGCGGGCAGCTTCGCAACCCAGCGCTCAACCGCTGTGCCACCAGGGGAGGCCCAAGGAGAGAAAAATATTAATCACACAAATAATCACACAGTTTAAAATGGTGAAACGTCACATAAATGTGTACTACAGCTGATCTAACATAGTCTGGGGGTCAAGGAGGCTTTGCTAAAGAAACTGAGGGTCAAACAGCATTCCTAGTTGCTTTAGTAACATTTTTTTTTCTTTCCATTCCCACAGCAGCATTAAGAAATTACCATATCTCAATTCAGACATCTGGCTAGCGTGGCTCGGTTATTTACTCCTTTTCTGTTGAGGTCTAGTATTTGGGTGAGGCTGGAGGCGTGGGGATGAAAGAATTCACCCAATGGAAAACAGAAAGGGTGGCTTTATTGATATACCATGCAAGAGAGCAGGGTTGGGACCGGAGAGGTCTGCTCAGGAAGAAGGATTTGGGGCTCCCGTTTATAATCTGTTTGCATGGGCTTGTTCATGCTGGGGAGTCAGTCTGCCAGTTGCTGTCTGCTGGGACATCAGGTGTGGGTGGGCCTTTGGCACAGGAGGTGGCATGTGGGTTCTGTTGGCCCTGTTTCGCATTCCTGGGAACTTGCCATGGCCCCCTATTGGTCATGTGGACGATGGTCAGGTTCCCATGGCAACTGTCAGTTTCCCTTTCTTACCTATTTTGTGTCTCCCAGCATTGTTCAGCTGGGCAAAGAGCAGAGACTAAGTTTTAACCCTACTGAATAATATCCCGACATTCTGCTTCATGTTTTCAAAGGTAGGATCCAATTAATGCAACTACCTCAACAGACCCTTTGAAAATCACTCATACAAAAATGTGAGACTGACCCTCAGTCCTGGAATGTCTCATCTCAGTCAGCCTTGGATGGCTTATGAGTCACCTCAGAGGGAATGATCTCTTATGTGTGAGAAACTGTCAAGTGGAGGTCTGAGGGGTGGACAGGTATCCAGAGATAGCTCCTGTTCATGAGTGTGTCAGGCCTGTGGGGGGCGGGGGTGCTCTTAACCATGCCCAACCAAAGCTCGTGAGTTCACAGACCAGCAAAGGAAAATATTAAAATGCATTGGAAAGCATGCAGGTCTGAGGGAGCACAGTTAACCGCCTCTCAAACCAGATGAAATGAATCTGGGAACTGATGTCCTTGAATTAGGTTCCAAAGGGTAAAGAGAAGTGATAAGAAGATACTTGCAAAGAGGTCCAGAGAGAGCAAATGATCAAAAGTCTGGAAGTGGAAAGCTCCAAAGAGGTAAAAATTAAATGAGAGAACCTAGAATTTCATATCATTGACATGCACATAAAATAGTGTGGGCTACATACGAACTTCTCAAATATTTATTTCTTATTTGATTTATTTGTCTGGTGGAAGTAAGAGAGAAACATGACCAGACTCCATTCCCATAATGGTGCTAATGATAATAGTCTCATTGGAGTTTGTGCTGCATTCTAAGAAGAGAGACTACTACAAGGAATTTACACAAAAGCATTAAAAGCAGCTAAGTGTTATAGTCATTCAAATACATTTGAATGAACACTATTACATTCTAGATAGTTGTCTTCAGAACCTTTTGATATCAGGCTGAGTCCAGATTAAGGAGAGATATTCCCCCTAGATCCTTCCCTGGAATAAGTGGTAGATTTGTAGACTAGTATCTGAGGATAAAACTCCTCTAGAGCTTTGGACATACAACAGCTTTTGCAAGAATAATGGCAGGTCCTTATCTATTTTTTTAGTATTCTGGATTTATCAGAACTTATCAACAATAAAACAGTGACAATGAGCTTAAGAGCTGAGTAAGGGCAATTGCCCCTAGCCCTGTGCACAGTAGTTCCAGGTTATAGCTAGCAGAAAAAATTGAGTGTCCAGTAAAATCTGAAGTTCAAATAAACAATAAATATTGTTTTTAGTTTGACATATATAGTCTATGTCCCATGCAATGTTTAGGTTATACATATATTTGAATTTTTGTTTATTCTGAAATTAAAGTTAACTGAGCAGTCTCTTTTTGCATTTACTAATTCTGACATCCTAATCCCAGGATTAATCTGAAAAATTACCCAAACAGGCATGGCTGCTCTGTTCATTAAAAGATTATTCTAGATTAAAATATTTTATTATATTCATAAGATCTGATTGAATAATGTATAATAATGTATTCTATTGGCTACAAACAGTTGTTATTAAATCAACACCTCTACATGGACAGCATCACTAAATCAAAAAACTGTGGTATAATTTTCCTAGTTACAATAATCTGGTCGTAAATTCAATTTTATAGTCTTATATATTTTTAACTTTAAAATAGTTTATTTTGTCTCTCCCAAGAAGTATGCATAAGTTTTTATGTGTAAAGATAACCATACTTAATGAATTAAATTTGGAACAACATACAAAAGATATTATCACGATAGGATCAAATACGCAAGACAAGAGCAAGATATATTGTAGACCAGTCCTTGGCAAAAGTCTTTGTAAAGATCCAGATAAACATTTTAGGCTTTAGGGACCAAATGGTCTTTGTCACAGCTACTCAGGTCTGTCACTGTAGCACGTCAGAGCAATAGGCAACATGATTTAAGCCTTAACTAGCACAAACTAACTCCTTGAGCTCTTTTTTTGTTTGCTAATGCATGTATTACTTCTGTGGCTATCACAAAGGAGATGCCTCCAAATAGACAAATCCATCCCCAGCTTCCCCCTCCCTCCCTCCCTCCCTCCCTCTGCCTGTTTCCACCCCTCCTATCCCCTCCCCTCCCCTCTGCCTCTTTCCCCAACACTGTCACCAGCTGAGGACTCAAAAGAGGACAAGGAAGTGGAGGAAAAACATGAGAAACAGATTATAGGTGTATTTGAGAAACTCACTGAAAACATGGATAAGATTTGAGGTGGTTCAGCTACCCTTTAATGATTGAAGTTTGGAGATAATCTAATAATGTTAGTAAGAGTAGGGCTATGGGGGCTTTGGTGGTGAGAGACCTACAGTGATCACACCTGAAGGGAGAAATTCAATACTGTCAAAAATATCCACAAGGATATAAAACAACGGTGCTTTATTAAAATAAAATGGAACAAAACCAAAACCTCATTAGCAATAACATGGATACTAACCAAAAAAAAAAAAAAAAATAGTAAATCACAGCCATTTAGACACAGTGATGTAAAAGTGCATTCCTTGTACACTATGTCCGCAATTTTATTAGAAAACGCTTTTGTTTCTTGAGTCAAAAAGAAAGAAACACATAGACATGATTTGCTATTCGATATCAGGAATTGTACACTGGCTAAAAATAAGGTCCACCTTCCCCCCATTTCATTCCTATCCAAGCCAAATTAATTGAGCTATTTAATTGCCTGGCATTCCAAAATATAGATTGTTTAAGTAATGCGGCTCATTCCAGAGGGAACTGATGAGTAATGGACAGTGAGAATAGCAGTGTAAACAAAACATTCACTTTATAATGTATTTTAATAAAACACAGACTCTGAAAACATTGTTTTAATAATCTGAAAGAAGCTAAACTACATCCTCCTTAAGACAGGGACTAACCTATTTGGTTTCAAGTCAGAGCTAATAGCCTTAATGTTTTGAATAGTGTTGTCACCTACTCTTACAGATTTAATTGTCACCTTTGTGCACAAGACACAGATCTAATTATATAACCCCTGAAACAGCAAAATCAGTTCACTTACATCCTATGACATAGCTCCTTGAGGAAACAGTCTTCAACTTGAACAGATCTTTTGAATATTCCATTTCAAATGAAATCAACCTTCCATAGAGCTTTTCCTTCTCCTTGAGTATTCCAGAACCAAAGTAATTCCCAAGGTGATGCAGGACTCTGATTATGGGAAATTTCAATCTCTTAATATTTCATTTATCATTTACAGAAGGGAATACTAGTTCCTGGTCACATATCTTAAATTACTCACTGATCAAACTAAAAGTAAATGGCCTTTTCTATACATTTTCAACTAAGAAGAGATTCCACGAGCAACATGAAATGTGGACATAGATGGATAGAAATGCATATATGATAAGGATAGACATTTTATGTCACTACTTATAGCCAAATGAGTATGCCCATATGTCTCCTACGTATAAATGCACAGGAGTTAAAATTGGAAAGCTGTAAAAGTTCACCCCTAGGCCATACCTAGACAGTGTTCTTGTTTTAAAGTCTTAGCTTTCTGCTGAACAAATGAAAAACAGTATTCAAAGATTGCAAATATACTGTATGTATATACTTGCATCCTCAGAATTAGGCATGCCTTAAGAATGGGTTTATGGGCCAGCTCTTACACTCTGAAGTGATTTTTGACAGAGATAAATCAACTCCAGAAGCTCAAATATATGAATTAAAAAAGGAGGGGACTGTGGAGAAAGCATCAAAACTAGTTAAGTACTAAAAATAACAAGGTTAACTGAATAAACATTATGAAAACAAAATTTAGCCAAGGGAATTGAAGGGAAGCAGCAAAAATACTTCAAAGCTCAACTTATTTTCTTGAAAAACAATGATATGATTAGCATCAGTTTTCCACCCTAGAGGTACTTCTTTTTACAGAATTCTTTTGTACTTTATTCATATTCTAAACAAAAAGCACTAAACTGGCAGCAAGCTGACTGGTTGTTGTGTGGCAACCATGTTGTTTTGATGCTGCTTTTATGTTCATTGCAATAAAGTTGCCTAAAAGGAACATGAATAGTCAAAGCACAAAAGAAACACAAATAAAAAATACAGAGAAGAACAACGGCTCATCCTTAACCTGGAATCAGATGTAAGAATTAAAACAATGGAATGCTGTTTTTTTTTTTTTTAATATACCAAGTTAATTAAGATTTTAAACATAAATGTGAAAAATTGCTCAGTGTGTGTTATGTCAGGAATTTAATAAACTATCAATAGAAATAAAAACAGGAAAACATCTCCTGGAGTATAATTTGATCATATGTATTATCATATATGTATATGTATGTAAAGATTTTTAAAATATTCACAACTTGTGATCCAGTATTTTCATCTCTAACAACCTAGCTGAAAGAATTAATCAGAAAAGTCCAAAAATGTATGAATAAGGCAGTTACTGCAATTATTTATGATGAAACATACTGGGGAGTAACCTGAGTATACATCAATATGGAAACGTTTAAAGAAATTTTGTTAAATGAGTACAATGGCACTTTAGATAGCTTCTCAAAGGATATTTATAACCAAGGATATTAATGTAAAATAATGTTGTTAAAAAAGACAACAGAATCTGAAGTTTTATCTTCAATGTTATTCCTATGCTGAGGCATATGGGCGTACATGGGATATAGGTATGTTTGTGTTTAAGTGACTGTGCATCTGTGTTTTTACACTTTCACAGTTAAAGCATCAATACTGGAGAAGATCTACTAAGTTTGAATAATGCTTTCAGTGGATTGGGAAAATATGTATTTTAATAATACCTTATTTTGCATATTTTAAACATATATTGAGAATTCTGACAATTCATGATAAAATATTTTTAAGGAGATCTGATTGATAGGCTGATGTTATCATTTCATGTGAAAACATCTATTTCTGTTTGCCCAATTAAGATAAAAACCTTGATACAACTAAATGGTAAATCAGCTAGGATATGGAAAATTTATAATTAAATAATCATATTGGATTGCTTGCTTTCTTTGTCTTCTACTACAAAATAGAAGTTGACAACATTTTTCTCATAACTTTACAAGGATTTGAGTTTAACATTAGTTTTCCTAATTTAAATATTAACTTAAATTTTCCTAAGTTAAATATTAATATAATTATATTAAGATAAATGAGTCATGAAGCAGTCTCTTTCTTAAAATCAGAGTATCACCTTTTAGGATGTAAAGCTCAAAATGCACATCTTGTAAAGTTCAGATGTTACAAATTATAGTGTGACTCAAACATTAAAAATATGAAGGCTATGTCTTTCTACAACTAACAAGGAACCTCAATCATGCACATTGTATCTAGATTAAAAAGAATAAATTATTTTTCTTAAATATCATCAATTATTGTCTCTTTTGGAATAATGAAGCATGTTTCTTCTGCAGCATGTTAGTATTTCATTAACACAAATAACTGGTTGAATCAATCCAAAGCAGTAACTAAGACAACTGAAAAATAAAACGTGATTCATTTTAATTGACTTTCCTGACTAAAGAAAGTCAGAGGAGTCAACTATTTTCTCTGGATATTAAGAGCCCAATATTTTCAAAACTTTGTAAGTAATGAGTTTCATATCTGCAAGTCAGCCCATTCCAAGTCACGTGCAACTTCACTGGCTGCTATTGCTTAGGTCTGAAAATTGTGTTTTGTAGAAGTAAAGTAGTCAGTCTGTGATTTAAATAACTGTACAATAAATGGCTAAAATCTCTAGTCTCAGCATGACACTGGTTTAAAACCTGAAACTCAATTCTCTTGTTTATAAATTTATAAAGCTCCCTCATTTATAAAAATAATTTAGAAGCACTTAAGCCATCCATAAGACCCCATGGATGAGGTACAGAGGCAGACCAAATGCAGACCCATCTCATTAGGCTGTAGAAAGAGAGAAAGAAAACACGCATGCAAAGATTTCAGCACTGTACTTGAAAATTCATACAGCACTCAATTATTATATTCTTCTCCCTTCCCACCCCCAAAATAGCACAGTCGTTTCTGGGCCCGTTAGTACTTAAATGTTAAATCTTGCTTATACAATAAGTTCCTTTTAAAAATATTTCCTCTCAGCAAACACCTACCTGTACCACATGTCAACCTCACTCACTCTCCCAGAGCAGATGGCCCACTGGAACACACATCAGCCCTCGGGGGCCACTGGACAAGGGATCCCATCTGAAAAGCAAGAGAAATACCTTGAAGAATCTTCCCACCTCGCTTTTCCTAACTACTTTTTAAACTTTATCTCTGAAAGAGTAAAAACAAACAAACAAAAATGAACAGACAGGCAAATGTAAAAAACACGTCGTTGCTGTGAAAAGGTGGGTGATGTTTAATGTGGCACGCGAGCTGATTCCAACTGAAATTTTCATAAATGCTGCCATCTAGTGTTCCCTGATCTCTGTAAATTGCTGGCCTTGAAAATGCACTATTAATGTGAAGGGCACTCTCTCTCTCTGTCTTTCTCTCTATCTGTCTCTCTCTCTCAACAAACTCATCCATTCCACTCTTATTTTTTTCAAACATGACTGGCAACTTTCTGCCAGTCAAACTCATTGGGTGGTAAAGCAGCATATACCTGGGGAGGTTTTGAGACGTGAGGACTCTGTTTTTCTGACACTTATTGCTATGTCCTTTAGAGCAATTCATTACTTTAGGATCGTGTGTGTGTGTGTGTGTGTGTGTAACTATATATATATATATATATATATATATATATATATGTATATGTATATGTATATAATTTAACTGTGGCACAGTGGCCAGACTAAGGTCTTGACAAATGTTAATTAAAATTAAAATCAAGGTGCTATGTCCGTCTCTGGACAATGTTCATTGTTTCTCACTCACATCTTCTCCCTCTGTCCATTCAGTGAGGAAAACATCTACTTTCTCTAGTTCTCCTATTAGTTACAATTTAACTATATAAAATGAAAAATATGTGAATAAAGTTGTGTAAGAACAAATAAATGCATTGTTTCTCTCATAAAAAAAAGAAATGAAACATTTTGACATAAATATAGTTAAGGCTTTAACTAAGGCTTACTCAGTTTCTACTCTTTAAGAATGTGTCTCAAAAGAGCCTCGTTTTATTTTATTTTTACATACGTTAGGCCTGAATTTCCCAAATTGATCCTCTAAATCTCCAAAATTGTCTGTATAATAAACATTTTGCATTTTTGTTGACCATGTCTAAAATAATAAGATCAGAGCCTCCCATTCTAATGGGCTGTGCATAATTTTTAGTGGAGAAAAATTGGGAGACCTTATTTTGGAGTGCTACTAATCAAATACTAAAATATAAATGGAAATTCATAATTAAAAAAATTCTCAAAGGCAAATTCCAGGACCAAAGCAAATATTATGTATAACTGTATTCTCAGGCAATGTGCCAAATAACATTTGCTGGGAAAGCCAGTTTTTTTCCTTATGTCTATGGTTCTAATGTTTCATTTCATAATCTGAAGGGAGCAATGCTGTTAGGAGTTGCTGAGCAGATTTTACCATTCTCTTTAGTTGTAAAGAGATGAAGAGGTAGCTGAAAGTATGCTCTAACATCTCATGCTTCTGCCTACACACTCAGAAAACAAGCTATATTCAACATCCATGTTGGAATCAATGTGGGAATGATTTACAGCGACCTCAAGTAAATTACTTGCAGAGGCTACCTGAACCAAATTGGGCCAGCTAAGGAGAGAAAAGAGGTAGCACATTCTACAGAATTTCAGGTGGCATTGTTTGGGTTGCATTTCTATCGACCACAACATTTTCAAGTTTATATTATTGCAGAAAAAAAGTGTCCATACTTAATATTTCAAAATTCATGTGGGTTTTTCAGTCTAACGCTCTCCCACCAGAGCTATTTTGACCAACTTGTGTGTTTTTAAATGCATAAATTATTTGCATATATTGCTATCATAAAATTATACATGTATGAAAATATTTAATGCAGAGATAAATATGTGGCCATATGTACAATATAAACTTAGAGTAATTTATGACTGTTTTATTATGGACCATGTCCTACTACATTTCCTATAGTAACACTCCATCTATACCCCCCTATAGTCAGATAGCATGGAATAGATACACTGAGATTCAGGAGGGATTGAGTTCTATGCAGTTCTATTTGGGGTTGAGAAATAAAAGGTAGTACTGGAGGGGGTGGGTTATACTCCCTACTAATCACACCACATTCACACATTACTCATACATTCAGTAAACTGATTAATGGCTATTACTATTTTTTAAAGTATAAATCGTAGAGTAGGATTTCATGGTAAGAATGTTTTGGTTTTTACTCTGAGTGATATGCAATACCTTTGGAGGATTTTACACAAAAGATTGACATGATTTGATTTGTGTTTTGAAAGGGTCATTGGTTGCTGTGTGGAGAGCAGACTCCACGCTCACAGGGGCGGAGGCAAGGACACTGGTAAACGGCTACTGTAATAAATGTCACTGACTGTTCTATTTCTAAAACAATAAGTTTTACTATCCTCAGACTACTAGCTTAATTGAAAGAGGAGAGCTGCAAATTTCCAAATCATAGGACAGATCCTGTCAATCAACCCTGAAATCAAAACATGACAAAGAAACCTTACTAAAAGAAAATGAGTGTGCAAACTCATTTATGACTAAATATGTATGGATTTGTCCCTCATTTCCTTGAAAGAACTAGAAAACCCCTAAAATGTAGACATGCATTACTCAATATGCATTTTTTTCATTTTAGGAAATCAATTGGCATTCATTTAATCAGTTATTTAAAATTAAAGCTAGGTGAATTTATAAAATATTTGGGGAAATGCATCATCTATGCCTACACAAAAATTAAATTGAATGTAAAAATAATAAAATATTTCTTTGTAAGAAAAAAGCTAATCTATTGCAGACCTTAAGAGCTAAAGTACATGATGAATAATACAGGAAAGGCATTCATATCAGAGTCAAACACAAGAAAGGAATAACTGGAGGATACCCAGTGTCCTTACTTGTATTTAGCTGTGTGATTGTGACTTGTGACCAATGCATGCAAATGAGGAAAATCTATGCAATATTACAGTTATTCTTAATAAAAGGAAATCACAGCAGATAATTAATAGCAATTCAATAGATAATATGAAACTGCAAACTAATAATCATTTATAATTAAAATATATAATTTACAGTGAATAATTATCTAAAATAATAAAAATACCTAAACACCCAAACTTCTCTCATTAAAAAAAGAAAATTTTAAAACTATATGCCTGTTTTCCCAAATTGATAAGGTTTTGTAAAAAATGATAATATAAAGCTATTTAAGGAAATCCAGGCTCTTCAGTCATTGGTGATTGGCAGGATAAGTTATTTAAAATTTCCAGTTGGCAATTTAGAAATTCATATGAAAGATTTCAATTCTAGCACTCTCTTTAACTGTCAATTTCATTTCTGCATAAATGTCCTTAGCAGGTCAGTCATAGGGGTAATCACGATGTCGGAAAAATAATCTTCCTCACATTATTGGTAATTGCAATGTGAAGTTCTCTAAAGACAAAAACAATAAATAGCAAAATGACTAAATAGCAAAATGAAATTAAAGCAAACTCATATGATGGGCTCATGTAGTCATTGAAAAAGTTAACAACTATTTTAATAAACTAGACATTTTCATAATATATTAAGGTTAATTAAACTCATTTCCAGGTACCATGTACAGTACAAAAGAAAGCAAAACATATATTTCTACAAAAAAAGTTTGAAAAGTTATAAGCATATAATCTAACATTGTAACTGTTGATTATCTCTAGGTGTTAGCATTCTGTTACATCTTTTTTGTCCTTTGCTGTTTAGAAGTTCTCATACATTGACAATACACATGTATTTTAATAACCACATACATACAGAGCATACAGTTTACTTTAAAATAATCTGACTGAAGTCTTTTTTGACCCCAAAGGAGAAAGGAGGAAAAACAATATTATGTAATATTTTTTAGAAAGGCTTCTCCCCTGGTTCATTCATTCTTTCAACAAGTATTGATTGTCTCTGTTTCATTTTCTTCCTAAACTAGATACAAGATTTTCAAAGATGAGTTAGTCACAATCACTTTCTCATAAATCTCATGGGTCAGGAAAGGAATCTGTCAGAGGTGGTGTAAGTTCAGTTGCAATGGAATGGGTATTAATGTGGCACTGCAGGTCCCAAAGGAGGGAAGTACTGCCTGGGAGGAAAGTTGGTAAGGAAAAGCTTCCTAGAACAGTACTCTTGAAGAGTTTCAAAGATGAACAGGAATTTTCCACATACAAATAGTGGGCACCAAATGAGAAAAATTTGGAGAAGCATAATTTGAATTCTATCATTGCTCATTATCACCACCTTATCATATTTGTTTATAAAGAGCCCCGATGACCACCAAAATGCTGAATACAAAGCTGATTGAAATAGTACCTTCATTGGTGCTATATCTTTATGGCACTGTTTGCAAGTAAGGCCAACTATAACTTGGTCCCTTGCTAACATTTGGCTCTTTCATGACTTCAACATCCCCAGCTTGACACCTACCATACTCCACTGCTCCCCATCTGCTAAATGCATTATGATGGCCCATTCTCAATACCCCTTGCTATTATCTTCAATAAATAGTTCCAGAGTAACATAGCTTTCATAAGATGCCCATGTCTGATAATTCCTGGCATCATGCACCTACTCATTAAATTTATTTGATGTCATCTAGAGTGATTATGTCTTATTCAACTAGTCAGGCATCTAACCTCTAACACAGAACCTGATACATGGTTAGCATGTGTTTAACTGCTTATTGAATGAAGTGAATGGCTGGCTGGCTGGCTGGATGGATGGATGAATGGATGGATGGATGATGGATGGTGAATTCTACCCAAGAAGCTTACTATACAATTCAATAAAAAGCTTCTCAGTCTTTGGCATGCCATCATCTCTGACAACTAATCAAGCCAAAAAAAAAAAAAAAAATCCAAAACCAGTTCAAACTGAAATCAGGCACATTCATTTCAAAAGTGATTTTACTGAACAGATATAAAATAGCTTAATAGCTTAAAAAATATAAATTAATTCAAACAGGACTCTAGCACAAAAATCTTGACAATGTTTGATAAGTATAAAAGTCATTATTTTGTTTGATACTGTATCTATGGTCTTAAAAATAAAGAGAATGACTATTTTATTGACTCCCAGATTTGAATAAATAACAATCAGAGAAATGTGGCTACCTCTCTTCTCCCAAAGGGCATTTTCTGTTGAGTGGTCCAAGAACGTCTGGGCCCTGAATTCCTTCCTTAAGTATACAGATAGCTCTCAGCCCAACTACT